AAGATGAAGAAATGAATGAACGAATGAGTGAATTAACAAGAGCATAGAGGATAGGAACCACAGAGCAAGGGCTTCGGGTCGAGAGAAATGGACGACCTGACAAGGAATAACCATGCCCTACCGATCAGCATCTCCTGAAGCCTACCTAATGCCCAACTGATGTTCATGTCACGCCAACGCCAAATCTGCCCACTCCAGAGTGTGCCAAGCTGGTGGAACAGCCCCAGACCAGCCAAGCTGCCCCTGTTCCCTGGGGAGTGCTGCATAGGAGATGGCATAGTTCAGAGGCTGGGGGTTTGGGCAATGGCAAGAATGGAGGCTCCTGTCTGTACCCATTTGTAATCTTTGGTCCTGTCCTCTTCCTTGACAACTCTGGGAGTTTCCAGCTTCCATGAGATCCCAGTCTATGCACGGGAATGATGGAGCACATCACTTGAAGGCCCCTGGAAGCAAAGAGCATCCAATCAGAGTGGGAGAAGGGACACAGTATGTCCCCACAGCACAGAACCAGGGGCTGACGAGACCTAGGGTACGTCCCACCAATTCTTATGTTTGGGAAACGTGACAAAAAAGCACTCGTTCAATTTCCTTGAGCATCTAAGCCTCTAAGGAAGCCCACCGGTCAAAACAGCTCTCTTTAGCGCCTTAAAACACCCCCAGACAGGTTCCCCATCGAGAGGGGAGCAAGTCCCCAGGACACTCGGATGGCAGCAGCTCTCCTCTTTTCTCCCTCTCCTTCTTCCCCACTTCTCAAGGCTTTCAGGGACTTTCAAATGGGCAGGGAGGGAAGTAAATGCCTACTGAGGGTCTGCGATGTGACAGGTGCTTTACATGGTTCTGTCGGTTCTGTCTGTTGCTGCACCCTTCCCCAGTCCTGGGAGGAAAATGACATTGCTCTCATTTAGGGATTTGAGGACACAACCTTAGAGGGCGAGGGCCTGCAGGAAGCTGGCAGAAGGCCAGCTCTGACACACAGACTTCACAAGGTTTATAACAGAGGCCATCTTTAGGAAGGCGTGACCAGGGAGTAAGATGCCCACTAGGGACAGAGCAGTTCCTTCAGCTATAACCACCCTTAGGCCCAAAGATTCAGGATGAGGAGCAGAAACTGGAAGAAGAATCCCCATGTGGAGAGGACCCTCAGCCCAAGGTGTCACCTGGGGGGCAGGAGTTGGGGACTAAGTAAGTATGAACTGAAGTACTGAAGTCCACCTATCTTCCCTCTGCCTATCTCCTGCCAGGGCCCCCAGGGCCCAAACCCAATGAGTCAGGCCCCCACCCTGAGCCCAAGGTCACACAGTTAGAGTGTGGCCTACAGGTTAAGCCCAGGCCTGCAATGTCTGGGCTTTTCTTCCTTCCCCAAGCATCCCCCATCTTGGAAGGATGGTCCATGGGCAAGAGAGGCCCAGAGGCTGCCTAGCCACCTGCCACCCCAGTGCCAACAGCTGTATCTGTCCGCACTTGGCTGTCTGTTCTTGTTTAGTAGGACGCGTCCCTGTGTGTGCTGCAGCACCGAATGAGTTAATATCCCTGTCCTCCAACCTATAGAGGGCTGTGAACTCTCACAAGGCCCCAGCCAGACCCTCCCAGGAAATCCACTCCCACCCTTGGCGACAGCCCAGCAGCCCTCAGCTATGCCAAATGAAGCTCAGAGATGTGATGGATGGGAAGGCAGACCCAGGCTTGCCTGGGAAGAGAATTAAATTTTAAGGGAAGGAACACAGGAACAGGGAGCCCGTGGGTCCAGCAGGCAGCGGCTGCACACATCCAGCTGCCACCAGGAGCATGTGCAAGTCATTACCCGGGGAGCTTCCCATGCACGGCCACAGATGACGCCATGAGTGTGGTGGGGGTGCTGAGGCCACAGGCGAGTGGACAGAATGTTTTTCTGACACAAACACCTCTCCCTAGCCTCAGCAAATGCCATGGAGGAGCCAGGCCCAGCCAGGAGTCAGTCACCCATTTTTAGGCCTCCTCCACTAGACTGGAGAGGTACCCAGCTGTAAGGAGGGAAACAAAGTCTGGAAGGGGGAAGTAGGGAGCGTGGGAGAGGAAGGAGCAGGAAAAGAAGCAGCCTGGCTGGCCCCAGTTGGATTTCTGTTTGGAGGGAGGCATGAGTAAGCCTGGGGCCAGAGACCACATGGCTGAAAAGTCTTTGAGGTCCCCTCTGGAATTGGCCCTTCCAGGCAGTTATAGATGCTTCTGCTGTTTTCTGGGAGGTAAGGAGATAGTCCCTGTCCCTAAGTTCCAAGGAGGATGCTGAGTGCCAAGACACAGAAAGGAAATGGGGTCTCCAGAGGTGGCCCTGCCAAGGGTGCAGAGGAGGGGCTTCCAAAGGCACCATGGAACAGGAAAGATGGAAAGGGGGCGGGCTTGAAGGATATGGGGATGAGACATGCCATAATCGTGGTGAAGGGGACCCATGACATGTCACAGCCCCTCCCCTCCCCTTCTCATCTGACAAGTGAAAAATGGGAAAGAATGAAGGCAGGGAGTGAGAAGAGAGAAGAGGCTGGGAGGAGCAGAGGGAAGGAAAGAAGGTGGGAGAGGGAAGAGAAGGAGAGGGGAGGGAGGGAAGAAGAAAGGAGAAGGAAAAACAAATGCACAGTGAGGTGAAGAAGTTGAGTGGCGATAGCATGCGCCTCCTGCTGGGGGAGCTCATTTCTTTTGTGCCAAAGACGCTCCCCAGCAGGGAGTCCCCACCCCAGGCAGCAGCAAAAGCCTATGCCTCTTGCACTTCCCGCCCCACCCCCAGCTCCTTCGGGGAACTTCTTTCCTTCTCTGGTTTTCTGCCTGAGCCTGCAAAATAGCACCCTCAGCCCTTCAGCCCTCAAGGAAGGGCTGCCTTGTCAAATGGGTGAGGGCTGTAGCCCCAAGTCCCTGTCCCTGATCCTCTTGTGGGGACCAGGGTGACTAGGCAAGGGTCAGTCCAGGGACAGGCGCTCATGCTTGCTGGCTGGATGTCATCTCCCCATGAACTCCTGCCTGGGACTAGCAACTGAGCCAGTCCAGCTGCTAGCCAGCTGCAGGTCCGAGCCACATTCCTGAATTTAGCCTTCCCATCTATAAGGCAAAATTTGTATTTTAATTCCCATGTGACTCTTAATCTATTCTTCCATTGGTTCTGAATCCAACCCTTTGAATTCCTTTCCTAGAAAGGGACTCTGAATTGCAGGTAAGGAGACCCTGGAGTCAGGTTCCAGCCCTGCCACTAACTACTTGAATGGCCTTGAATGAGTCATGTACTAACAGTCACAAAAATTTCCCATGATCCCACATGAAGGAGCCAAGAGAATCCAAAAAAGAGTCAATCACTTGCCCTGGCTTCAAGGATCTCAAAGTCCATTAAGAACAAATAACTGTTCCACACGGTAGAGCAGAACACCCAGCCCAGTAGGAACACAGGTGTGTCCCCCAAAAGAGCTCATGTGTTGAAGACTTGGGCCTCAGCTGGTGGACCCAATCATTAAGAGGTATTAGATCATGAGGGCTCTGATCTAATCAATGGATTGATCCACTGATGGATTCATAATTTGATGGCATTTTGAGGAGGTGATGCAAACTTCAGAGGTGGGGCCTAGTTGGAGGAAGTAGGTCATGGGGGCACGACCTTAGGGGCTATCTTGTCCTGGACCTCTCTCCATCTCACTTCCCAACCACCATGAGGTAAGCAGCCTCTTCCACCCCATGTTCCCACCACCATGATGCTCTGCCTCACCACAGGCCCAAAGCAATGGAGCCAGACGACCTTGGCCTGAAACCTCTGAAACCATGAGCCAAAATAAATCTTTCCTCCTTTAAGTTGTTCTTGTCATGATTTGAAACTGACAAACACAGACTCTGAAGCCCACAGCAGGGATGTGCCTAGGGGCAGTGACCCGTGGAGCATGAGGCAAGGGAGTGGGGCTTCCAACAATGAATGGGTACTGCCACGTAGACAATATGGGGCAGGGGGGATGTGACTTCTCCAGGAGAAAGGCACAAAGGCCCAGAGCAAGGAGGTGCAGACAGACTATGGATTCATGTTGGGGGTGACAGGGTAAGGGGACCAAGACAGAGCCTGGAAGCATAGTTGGCCAGACAGAGTGCTGGTGACCATGGCCTCTATCTAACATGGTATGTTTACACCCTGCTGTCTTTAAGGTCCCACCTGCATTAAAGTCCCACCTTTGCTTCCCTATGCCAAAGCCCAGGGCCAGCCTTCCACAAGAGGAAGTACACATCTTCTTCTCTCTCGTTTTGGATTCAAGGAGGCAATCCTAAAAGGACTTGGAGCTCTTTCCAGGCCCAACACGCTGTTAAGCATTGTTCATTTCCTCCTAGAAATGGGGACAGTGCTCCCCTCTCCTGTGTATGCTGTAGTGAGGAATGGAATCATTCATGCAGCAAGCATCTCTGAAGCCCTTACTCAGAGTGGAGCTCCAGGCTGGTGCCCAGGCAACAGATGCTGGGCAATTGCCCTGGCTCCTGTGGAGGAAGCCATACCAAATGAACACCAGAGTTTTAGCAAATGCCTGGCCCCAAACTGCAGTGCCTTCAGGATCCCCTTCCTGTGGCATGACAAGGGCACATTCTCCCCTCACACATGCTTCTGGAAATGAATCAGAGACTCCTTCCTTCTCCTGAGGGTCTGGGCTGATCGGTTCAGATACCCTTGTCTGACCCTCATCTCACTCACAGAAGTAGAAAGACTGTTTGAGGAGACTCAGTGCTGTAACCTCTCTGCAACCCATAAGCTGCGGGGTCCTTGTGCTGTTGTTGACCTCAACTAGCTCATCTGTAAAATGGGTCCTCATCTTGCTGATTGTACAGGTTTGCTGAGACAAATGAATGAGAAAACACGTGGAAAGCCCTTTCAAGATATGACATTTGGCATACAAAGTATTAGACAGGGAGGACCCCAGCACCCTGGGCTATGTCAAGGTTAAGTGGCAGGGGCAGGGCTCCTTTCCCACCCCAGAGTGGACTTTGCACCCCAGGATGGAACTAGATGCACTCACCATCTTCGCATAGGTTCAGCTTGGACAGGCTCCTGCCATCAAAGGGCTCCTCAAAGATGGAGCCGGTGTCCCGGTCACTCACGGTGTGCAGGTACATGGCTTTGTTCTCCATCACGTCCTTTAGCAGCAGAGATGGTGAGCAGTGCTGGGGCCAGGGAAGACAGAGAGAGTCAGTCACAAGGGGAAACAAGCAAGTGGATACAACCAGGTGCCTGCTCATGGGACCCTGAGCCTAAACACCAGGAACTCTCTGTATGGCAGGTGCATCCTCCAGGTCCTCAGACCCAGTCACGACCCCCTCCATGCTTGGGGTCTGGATCTTTCTAACTATAGGATCTATCCCCTCCTTTCAGCAGTTCTTGGTGGGGCTGGAGCCCTAGCCTAGAGGCACTGTGGCCATGCAGGGTGAGGCCTGAAGGAGGGCCTGCTCCCCCAGGGGTGGCCAGGGAGCAGTCTCTGCCCCTTCAACAGCCCCCCCCGCCCTGCACCGCCCCGGAGTATCAGAGACCTGTGCCTGCTTCATGCTGGAAATCAGCTAGACATCCAGGGATGTTAAGGTGGCATGGGCCACCAGCCAACACAGCTGAGCCAGCCAGAACTGCTCCCATAATCCCATGTGGGACCATGGCAGGGATTCATTTCCCAGGGGGCTCGGGGGTGGGGGCGGTCAACCTCAGTAGAGCCCAGAACCCTGAGAGGTTGAGCATCACTAGGCCAGGGAAGAACTCCAATCTGGAGGATGTCCTGAGGCTGGCCTGGAGTGTCCCCAGGATATACCCACTACTTGGGAAATTCTAAGCCACGTGAAGTGAACCAGCCATGTTTACCACACCAGCCCATCCTGTCACATGCACTGTGTAATCAGAAGGCTGAATTCAGCCTGTCTGGTGGCCCCAGTGAGAAAGGCATTACAAGACCCTAGCCGGAAAGGATTGTGGGGATTTTGTACTTGTTTTCACTTGCAGATTTTCTGAGTTTTCTATGACATATTTGCATGGTTTGTGTAATGAGAAAAACCCTTTTTATAAAACTAAATTACTAGGCATAAGTATGGTAGTGCACTTCTGTAATCCCAGCTATTCAGGAGGTAGCCGTAGGACGATCACAGTTCCAGGGTAAAGGCAGAGACCCTAGATGAAACACCAACTAAAGGCAAAAGGACTTGGGTGTGGCTCAAGTAGTAGAGTGCCTGCTTAGCGACATGAAGCCCTGAGTTCTGCCAAAAAAAAATTAACAAAATCAAATTACAAAGGACTCATTTACATGAAATACTTCATGTTCTTTTTCTCACACATACGCTCAGTGATTTTACAATTTGCTCTCTACTTTCATCGCAGTTCTAGCAGGCCATAGTTTATGTCAACCTTTGTTTCTGATGTTCTTTAACTGTCCGGATATTTAATCACAAAAAAAAGATCCAAGTTTTAAAACTAAATCCTTTGGAAAATGAAAGCCCTAAGAGGAAGAGTCCCTGGCCCAGTACAGGGCAAACCCAACCCTGAGGCCCTGAGAAGCAAGCAGGGCTCCATGGCCTGGGTGAGTTACATGGTGACCCCAGGCTTTGGTAGAGAAGCCCTTGGGTGGCAAGAGCCAGCAACTCCTCAGGGCAGGTTAGGGAAGGAAATCATCGGCACTGTTCGTCACCAGACGCAGTAGAGGGGAAAACAAGATGTGAAAGCCTTGTTTTCTTTCGTGACTTGAACTTGGCTTCCGCAGACCTCTGACTTTGGGACTGAGAAGAGTCCAGAACTGATCAGTGGCTTTTCAACTGTCCTGCTGATGACCCAGGGGAGCTGGGGGCTTCTGCTCTTTTCTGTCTAAGTACCGAGACCGCCATTGCTCACGTGTGTCTCATTCAGACACGCACAATTGTGAGGCACCCGGTCTTGGCCTTTCTTCCAGCCAGCAGGAGGGACAGAAGAGGCTGGGTGGTCCACAGCTCCACCAGGATCTCTCCTTCTGCTCAGACTCTCTGTGCCTCCCTCCCCACCCCCAGCCCCTTGGCGTCCAGTTTGTTAAACTCCCAATACTAGCCTCGGTCCAAGGCCTCCGCCCAGTGAGGGCCTCTAGGTGGGGCACCAGACTGCTCTGTCACTGCTCAGCCACAAGTGACCCTCCCTCGTTTCACGAGCTCTGTGTGCAGCACCCCTCCCTCTGGCCTCACTCCTGGGGAGCTGCAAAGCAGGAGGCCACTGTCTCCTCTGCCTGATAACCCTCACTGTGCCAAAGTCAACAGCCTCTGTGGCCAGAGGTCACCAGAGTGGAGAAGGCACTGTCCCTGTGGAGTGAGAGTACAAAGGCCCATCTTCATAACACCTTCCTCCTGTCCTGGTCAACTCTGGGCCACTACAGGCCTGTTATCTGGAATGTGTCCTCAAGGCGACCCCTCCTCTCCACCCCTCAGCTGGTCAGAGCAGGAGCCCAGGGGAGCTGGGGAGAGGGGCTGGGGCCGAGCAGGACCAGATGTAAGTGAGATGAATTTGGAAACGCTCTGCTGTTTGTCACTTGAAAATGAAACCTGAGTGCATTCTGCCTGCCCTGGGTTTGTCTAGAGCTGATTTTCTTTCATGGGAGGTGGATGGCAGGTGTTTCAACCCTCGATCATGGGTCTTTTTCACCTTTGGACCAGGTGTGTGCTCTCAGGCAAGGTACAGCTGTCAAGTGTGGTGATAATGGTCCACTGCTGGCATGCACACACCCCATGAGGCACACACAACCGGTTTGCCCTTGAAGATGTCTCTGTGAGCTCCCCCTCAGGCACTGTGAGCTGTGCAGGCAGATGCACTGTCATTCTATCATTCCCATTTTAAAGATAAGCCAACCAAGACCAAAGAGGCTTAAGAGATCTTCCTACACAGGACACTGGCACAGCCACAAGGCCTCTTGGTCCAGGACATACATGTCAGCCCCTTTCAATTGCTGTGTTCAGGGTCCCAGACCAAACAACGAAGAAGGTCACACCTTAGGGGTCAGTCAACATACTGAAGCAGGTGGGGTCCTGGACTGAGGGGAGGCTCCAAGACCTGCAAGGGGAAAGCCTTGCTGGGCACGGAAGCCACAAGGACCCGTGGATGACACCAAGGAGTCATCTTAAGTCAGAGTGAGGCCACCCTGTAACAGGGAGAAGATGCTCTACTGACCTCTGGGGTGTTATGATTCACTGTCCAGCCAAGGGCAGGGTTGAGGCCAATGTTCTACTTCTGATTCTGCATCTGACAGCTGAAAAAGCCCTCAGCCAACTTCACGCCATCAGTGCAGGCATGCGGAGATGGTCCCTCTTCTTATCTGTGGTTGGGGAGGGCAGCCCAATCCATCGACCTCACCCAGACTCAGTGCATCACCCTGTAACAGGTGGTCCATCCCGCCGCCTCGCAGGTGACCTGTGAGCATCCCGTGAGCTGATGCACGTGGAGGAACTTTACAGACAAGGTCACATGGGGCAGCTGGTAGCAGAGCCAGATGAGAACCAACACTCTCCAGATCAATCAGTCCCAGAAATTCCCTTGTTGTGGGGTCCCTTTTGCAAAAAGCAATCGTAAGCATAGCACAGGGCTGAGACGTGACCCTGGCTCTTGAAGTCCCTCTCTGGGCATCAGAAGCATTGAATGAACTTTTCCTTCTAAGGGGGGGGGCAGCAGCCTGCTTGCAACTCTAAAGAATACTTCTGTGGGTTTCCACCTCCTAGCTCTACTGGACTTGTAGCTTTTCTTTAAATTACCTAGTTTTAAACTCATCAAAACCTAGTAAAATCACCATGAATGTGGCTCCATATCAGGAATTGCTAAGTAGGTTTTAAACCCTTTGCTCTTCTAATGGAGTTGACTGAGCTAACTCAGATAGATCATAACCCACAGCTGGAGAGATGCAGATGTGTTTTTTTTTTAAACCTCTTACATCATCACTGTACACACACACACACACACACACACACACAAACACACACACACACTCTCCCCTGACACCTCTCCTCCCTGAATAGGTCCTGGAGCTGTGACATAGCCAGGCAGAGTTGCCACCAAAACAATAGCATCCCTCTGGCACCCCAATGTGAGCTCACACTCTCCAGCCCAGGTAGCTGGACCAAGAGCCAGTGAAAGTCCATAGGCTTGGATGGCTGGGACCTTCCCACCTAGACCAAGCCCCTAGAGGGCTCTGAACCCTCAAGATTTCCAAACGCAGAGCTCTGCTCCATGGGGCAAAACCTGGTCTCCCCCAGCTGCCTTTGGGACACCAAGCTCTGATAGGTACTAGGTCAAAGTTAGTGTCAAAACTCACCTGAGTGCTCCTACTGATGCCGCAGAGCCTGTTCCCTCAGTTTCCAGCATTCATCATGATAGTCAGAGAGCTGGCTGCTGTCCTACTGAAACCCAGGTACCCCCTCAGAGCTTGTCCCCACAGCCAGCCAAATCCAGACAGAGTCATAGAAAAAGGTAGCAGGAGGGATCAGGGTCTTGTTCCAGGGAGGGTCACAGGGTCACTTCTGCAGGAGGACCAGGTCAGGAGGCAAGACGTAAACTGGTGACTGAGTGGGAGTCTGCACCTGGGGCTTCTTGTCTTGGTGCCTCGCCTCTGTCAGCCTTGGGCAGCCATCCGGAGATGTTTTCTGGAGGCACCGGCAGCTCTGCTAGGTGCTGACTGAGTGGGAGCTGCAACTGCTCCAGCTGCCCTTCTTATAAAAAGTTTTTGATTGGAGTAACTCCTGATGGGATCTGGAACACGGCCCCCCTCTTGTGACCACTGTCAGCATTACAGCCCGGCAGAGAACGTGCCCTAATCTGAGCAGCAAAATCAACCTTGGACTTGGGACTCCAGGGCCTATTCTGAGACACTGCTCAAAATACTTTTTTGGACGGGTTCTGGGGGAATGACAGCGAGGCCTTCTTACAAGTCACTCGCAGAGACCAGTCTGTGAATTTATTTATAGGACAGAGCTGGCATTGTTCAATTCATTCATCAAACCTGGTAAAGAACTGTTTTATGCATTTTCCTGAAAGAAGTCATGTCCACTCCCAAAGGACTCGGATGGCTCATACTCGGTATAGATATTTGGAATGCTTCAGGGGCTCTGAAGGAATTTCCCAAAGCCAAACTCAATTCAGTAACAAAGCCAATGTCTAGGGAACATTAGCACTGCCCAAGGGCCAGAGAACACAGGACCAAGTGAGGCTAGCCGGCTGGAAGCTGGATTCAGCATGAAGAACTACAAAAGTAACCCATTATATTTGAAAAGGGAGAGCTAACCAGACATTAAGGGGGCGGTGAAATTAGGATGGGGGTGGTAGGGAGAAGACATCAGAGAAATCCCCCAAATAGCATGAGTGTGGCTGCAGTCAGTTGACAAAGGTGGCCTCCACAGGACAGCATTCAGAAGGTAACGTTCATGACTGAGCTTCTCTATTTGTTGGTTAAATGTGCAGCCCCAGGGCTTCAGGGTCAAACTTTGAACATGAGAAGTGTTCACCAGGCTTAATTCTGCCCACCAGGCTTAGTTCTGCCCACAGCCCAGCTGCCAGCCTGCTGCTGAGTCAGGAAAGTCTTAGTCATCTTCAGTGACAGCCCCTTCTTGCTGTCCCCAGACTACTGTCAGTGGGAAGCTCCATTTCACAGGGAGAGAAAGCAGTTATTACATAATAGTAATAAGAAGAGAAGGAGAGAAGGAGGAGGAGGAGGGAGGGGATGAGAGGAGGAGGAACCGGGAGGAGGAAAAGAAAGAGGAGAAGAAAGGGGGAGGGGAAAGGGAGGAGGAGGAGAAAGAGATGAGGAGAAGAAGGAGAAAGAGAAGAAGTAGGAGAAAAGGAGAGGGAGAGGAAGGGGAAGGGGAAAGAGAGGAGAAGGAGGAGAATAGGAAAAGAAAGAAGAAGGGAGAGGAGGACAGGAGGAGGAAGGAATTGAGGAGGAGGATGGGGAGAAGGAGGAGTAGGAGGCAGAACTTGGTACTGCATACTATGTGCTGAGCAATTCCAAGTGCTTTTTGCATATTCACTCTCTTAACTCCACAGTTGTCCCTAGGCATCCGCAGGGAATTTGATTCCAGGACCCCTCCCTCCCTGCATCCCTAAACCCTCCGCAGCTCAAGTCCATTGCATAAATGGGGTAGACCTCACGTGCACTCTCCTGTGTGCCCTAAATCACCTCTCGATTATATGTGCGGTGTGACTGCTGTGTAAATAGCTGCTGCACCGGCTTGGTTAAGGAATAACGACAAGAAAGAAGCGTCTTACATGTTCAGCACTGATGCAGGTATTTGACTGTGTTGCATATTTTTGATCTGTGGTCGGTTTGAATCCCCAGATGTGAAACTTGTGGCTATGACATGAGGGACCAATTGCACTCCAATCCTGTGAGGCAGGTGGAGCTATTGTGACCATTTTAGAGAGACAGATGGAGTAACTTGTCCCAGGTCAGGCAACCTGGAAGTGGCAGAGCTAGAATTAGACCCTTGGCAGTTCCACTGTGTAGTGCGAGCCCATAATCACTTATTAAAAAAAAAAAAGAAAAAAGAATGTTTTTGTTGCCCATCAATTCACCAATATTCCTAGGAAAGGAAGCTTGAGAGGGACAGACGTACATTCAGAATGTGACTCCCAGAAATCTTCACTGCAGAGGTGCAGCAGGTTAGTGCTATGACTTGAATTTGTCTCCCCAAATTCATGTGTTGGAAATTTAATCCTCCATGTGACAGGGCCGGGAGGTGGGGTGAATGGAGGTGGTTAGGACTTGCAGGACGCCACTCTCATTTGTCTCCCGCCGTGTGAGGACTCAGTGGTCATCTTCCCTCGCCCTCTTCCTGTGGACACATGGTAAGAACACACCAGATGCCAGTGATTTGAGCTTGGGCTTCCAGCTCCAGAACTGGGAGGAAATAAATTTTTATCTGTTTGTCTTAGGCATCTGCTTTGCAGCACAAATGGGCTAAGACAGTGAGACCTGGTGAAATCCAACTTCACCTAAAATGAAGACTATTTTTCACACGCCTTCCCTGGCACACTGTCCCTAGCAGAGGAAGCTGAAGGAGGGGGATAAAGAGGAGGAAGACCACGGCTTCAGCCTAGCATTTTAGTGGAGCCTCAATATTGATGGCAACTTATGATGTTTCCAGTTTATTTCAGTCTTTGTAAGATAAGATTTTTCATATGGACCTTTATATCTCAAAATGCCCACAGGCACCAAAACCTGCAAAAGTGAAATTGGCTAGGTCGGTGAGATGCTAAACTGATCGTGGATCATGGTTTATGGATTCATGGATTTTGTTTAAAACTTTAAAAAAGAAAGAAAACCCTTTCAGAGTGGGGGTTGTGGCTCAAGTGGTAGAGTGCCTCTCTACAAGCACAAGCCCTGAACCACTAAGCAAATAAATAAATACCTACATGTAAACGAATAAGTGCACAGATAAATACATAAATAAATACTTTTAAAAAGATTTTCCCATATTGATGACTAACTAGTTCATTCTTTACTTTTATTTTCTTTTTGCTTTGTTAATCCCTTCTCCCCTTGAGGGGCATTTAGGTTGCTTCCAGTCTTTGCCTTTTAAGACTAAAGCTTCCCAAACGTGCAAGAAGCCATTTGAAAGTGCAGAGTAGGAGTGACCAGGAGGGCAAGTTTTCCAGGGGCGAGTGTCCTCCAGGCTGCTCTCAGCTCAGATCACACCCTTCCTGTCACCTAAGATTAGAAGAGTCTACAACCAGTCAGCTTCCATTCAGTCACACATCTGTCACAGGCATGTTCCCCCAGAAGGTATCAGGGACGTGTGACTGTATTGATGGAGGCTTAACTCGACTTCAGAAATAGCTAGATGTAGGAAAATAAAGACTGTGAATTAAACAAAATCTGAGTATTTAACATGGAGGGACCCAGCTTTTGCACAATTGGAGAAGTCGCCATGGTGGGATAAGAGCAGGTGAGCTGTGTCACAGCATAATATATAAACTCCAGTGCTTCCTGCTCTCTTTGGATTGTGTCATTCTTGTGTCTCCTACCTCCAGCATCTAGCCCAGCAATCCACTCAGAGCAGGTGGTGAGTCAACCCTTGCTGGCAGGGTACTCAGACCATGGGCCTCAGAAGAGTCTTGTGGAAAAAACACTGGATCCAAGCCAGGAAGCTCACTCTGGACCCCCCCCCCCACCTTCTCCAGCTCTGTGAATGTGGACAAGTTCATGGAATCCCCTTAAACCTGAGTTTTCTTGTCTGTAAAACTAGCTTCCTAAATGGGTATGGTGGTGCATGCCTGTAATCCCATCACTTAAAAAGTGGAGGCAGGAAGATCTTCAGTTCAAGGCCAGCCTGGGCTACACAGTGAGACACTGTTCAAAAAGCCAAGGGCTGCCTGTCATGTTCCAGGCCCTGAGTTCGATCCCCAGCACTGCAAATGAAAACTGGCTTCTTAGATCCCGGCCTTCCCTCTCAAGGGCGCTTAAGAAGGAGAGGTGTTTCGAAAATCCTAATGCACTTCCCAAATGTCAGCCATTGCTACTATTTTCAGAGTTGAGAGCCCCTGACAAATGAGACAGTCATCACTCTGTGGGGCTCTCCAGTGTCCAGCTGCTGACAGCTGGCGCTGAGTCCTGGGGGGGAGGCAAGTGCCTCTGCCTTGGGGAGCTCCCTGCTCCTCGCCCATGGTGGAATCCAGCCAGCCATCTGCTTCGTCTCCCCGCACTCGGCTCATATTAACTCATTCCCCAGAAGACGTGGGGATGGTGAATTACACAAGGCAGCCCCAATTTTGTCACTCTGGTCCAGGGTCATTAAGAGGTAAAGCACATGAGTCGCTGACACGTGCACTGGCCAGAGACCTACCAGCAGGGACCACCTGGAGCTCCTGGTGTCGTCAAACTCAGTGACCCAGGGCACCCTCTACAGGGATCTGTCTCAGAGATGAGATGATCTGAACTTTGCCTGGAAATTAGATGATGAAATCATTTTAAAGTGAGCAATTTGTAATTGGTAGTCAAACACATTCATTCAAGTGAATCATAATAAGAGAGTTCTCAAAATAGGGTGAGACTCTGAGCCAAAACTCTTAAAAAGCAATTTAATAGGGTAAGTGTAAAACAAGCACCAATGTTGAACTAATGTACCTTCCCACATACAGGGTGAGGGATACCAGGCTTCTCAGGGGCACATAAGAAAAAAGTGTGCCATGTTAAATGACTTTGAGATTGATATAAGTCAACAGAGTTGAGGGGAACCACTGTTTTAAAACTTAGGCTGCATTAATAGAAGCATGATGACCAGAAATGTGGAGGTTACAGAGCCCCTGAACTCCACATCGATGACCTCATGCTTGATGCACTGTATCTCGTTCCAAGTGCATCTGGTGGAAAGATTTACTCACAAGTCGGAATGTGACAAGAGTGGTGAAGGGTCTAGAGAAAATAGGAAAGGTCATGTTTAACTCCATAAGTGAGAACAAATCACTCATGGAGTTTGATTTGGGTTTGTTGATATGCAAAGGACTGTCATAAGAAGAGGACTGGGTTTTCTCTGAGCCATCCTAGAGAGAAGCAGAATTCCCTTCACAGGCAGAAACTCTGGTTCACCCTGAACCGTCCATACCTGGCTGCCTGGCTGGTGACGGGAAACCCCACCACGTTTCTTGTTTACTTGGAGCTGGGAATCTGCACTG